TCTTGGTGTTTGGAATCGGTAAAGATATCGGTATTCAGCTTAAATCGCATCGATCAAAAGTTAGTTTAACAACTCTGGCTAGGGAATTTGGCTTAAATTTGGATGGTACCGCTAAAACAATACGTGAACGTATACAACAACACACCAACAACACCAAGCTAACTAGACCATCAAAAGATGTCCTAAATGGCAGTGATATAGTAAGGCCCTCTGTTCTAGCGACTGCAGCTGATGATTTGATGCTATGCAGCAGTAATGTCTTCAAGTCATTGTATGAAATGGCAATATCCAAAGATGGAGTTGGGTTAGTTTGTCAAACAATCGAAAAGCTAGACTATCCAGTTGGTGTCCACTCAATTTTATGTATGTGCTACAGTCATGGCTTACTTTATATTTCCTGGAAAGGCAGATCAGCTGAGAGCGGAGGACTTATCTCGATTAATTTAGAGAGTTTGAGTAAAATTCACATTTTTGAAAATCAATCCAACATTTGCTCAGAAATAAGTTCAGTGTCAATTTATAAAAACGGGCTGGTATTTGGGGATATTGGGGGAAGACAGCTGAAATGTTTCAGTCGTGATGGTGGTATGTCCGTAATAGCAGACTCTGGATTAGATGGTTGTTCAACTGGATCTGCTGAACTCTCCTCATTTGGCCAAATCATGGGAATCGCAGTTGAATTCGGAACAAATATTTATGTTGCAGACGCAAAATATGGCGAAATAAAATAAGTCACAACAATTAGTGAAACCGAACGTTTCCTGTTTCATTTGCAAAAAATATATGCAGCATATTCTCTATACACGAGAAAGGGACAAGTGTTCATCATTACAACCCCAATGAATCGCTACAGATGGTACAGCATTCAGTTCAATACTTTTTACAACTCGTAGTAAATGTCAAGAGAATTGGAAATATTGAGAAACACACAAATGGTTCAGAGGGAACCATCCCAAAACAAACCATGGACTCGTTGGTAATGATGGAAGATCAACTCATTAGATTCTGTCAGGTATTATCCAGTAATCCTTTATACTTGGCAGACATGTCATCCTGTTTAACCACTGTTGTAGAGAACTTGCACGCATTGAGCCACGTCAAACAGAGTTATCACTGAACTAGTATATATATTTGTTTAGTGGCCAGCTGAAGGACGCCTCCGGGTGCGGGAATTTCTCGCTGCATTGAAGACCTGTTGGTGACCTTCTGCTGTTGTCTGTTCTATGGTCGGGTTGTTGTCTCTTTGACACATTCCCCATTTCCATTCTCAATTTTATTTGCCAACTAAGGGGACGACCATTTGATATTCTGGGGGGGGGGGGGGTTTGGGGGGCAGGAGGATTTTAAAAATAAATAACTCAGCCTTGATAATCACAAAAATAAATGGTTTGTTCTGTGGTAGTTTGAAAATAAATTACCTGACTTGCAATGTATTGAAAATAAATAACTCAGCAGGTCTAATCGAAAGTATGAGATGGCACCAGATTCTTCATAAATTCATCTTTTTTCCAAAAAAAAATCGGGAAACACTTCCCATATCTTTTAATAATAAAAGTATAAATATTATTTAAATTTACTTGAAATGTCAGAAAATTGGTTTCATTTAACTTGAGGTTAATTGTCTCAGGAACACCTACCTCACTTTTATTAAATCAGGGCCGTAACTACATTGAGACAAATGCCTCATGTAGGAAATTTCAAAACCAAACGCTTGTCTCAATATCAAATTGTGTTCACCGTGAGTGCCTTGCAAGAAGCAAGTTCTGTTCTCCCTCAGACCTAGCCCCTGATTTTTCGGGATCAATGTTTCTTATTTATTTGTCTTTTGTTCATTGATTGCCCTTCTGTATTCTGTTAGTGTTGCATTCATTTTGTAATTTAGTAATTTTATTATTAACTTGATCATGAGTTTAAAAAAACACAGCAGCCACAGACTTAACTATGTGAATTACATGTTTGCTTTATCATGCATATTTGTCTTTTGATGTTCCTAGAAACTTAAGTCTTACACTGAATCTATAACGTGATTTTGCTTTGAGACCAAAATATTGTCATAAAATTATTAAAACAGAACTTGCATTTTCAGTTTAAGAAAGGGTCTGGGGAACACCCAGAAGGCATGATTTTGCGTCATTTGTTCTATAGCTTCTTGGGCCTTCAGCGGTTCAAAAACCCTTAAAAAAAAATTTGCCTCGCTCCGCTCGGCGAAACATGTTTGCCAATACTTTTAAAAGAGCCTTACTTACAACCAAACTTTAATACTGTGTATGTATGCAATACATGTATATGCATTGGGGAATACAGAAGATTCATTTCTGCAGAGGATAATAATGAATTCTGATAATGGTACATAATGACTTGACTATACATGAATTATTTATAATAAACAAATAATTTAAAAATTGTATGTTTTCGAATATTATAAATATAGTTGTGAAAATAAATAATCAGTCCCTTGCTTTAATGAAAATGAAAAATCTTGCTTCAATAGTGCAGAAAATAGATAATCTGTCCTCTTAGTTTACAAAAATAAATAACCGATCCAAAACAAATCCTCCTGGCCCCCCCCAGAATATCAAATGGTCGTCCCCTAACAAATTTGGGGAACAAATTTATCGGGATCGGGATTTTTAACAAAATATGTCCGGGATTTCGGGATTTTCTGATATTAAAACTGGGAAATCGGGATGAGACCCCCTCTCGCCCCCCCATCATTCTACCATTATTTTATTTAATAAACATTTATAAATATATTAACAAGGTAAATTATTTCTAAAATAAACACATATATATTTTTGATGTGGTGACCCTGCAAATAGGGTTAATATCCAATAGAAGAAGATTAAAAGCTTATACATGCCTAGGTTGGGAACAAACCCCCTATATATGGTGACAATACCTGTATAGAGTGATTATCCTTATATAGAGGGACATATTTGTTTAGAATGGATTAAAAGCAGGAAGATTTTATTTTCTAGTATTATTGGGTAAAATCTAAGGTATCAATTATTGCACTTTACTAAAAATTATGACGCCCATGAGTTTTCTGCTCAAGTGACAGAACTTGCAATCTATTGTGTACCATCTGAACACCTGATCAACAACAATAGGGACAGTTGGAAGCAAGACAACTCGCCCCACTGGCAAATCGCCCCACACCAAATCGACCCACTTTTTTCACCAACTCGCCCCACTTTAAAAAAAAATCGCCCCACTTATGAAAAAGGGTTAAATCCCGTTAAATATATACTCCTGCCAACTCGCCCCACTTATGAAAATCGGTAAAATCCAGATGAATATATAATAAAGGTCTGCCAACTCGCCCCACTTAAACATGTTAAATGAAAACTTATCTACCCAGAATACAAAAAAAATCGAAATTTAATATATGATTATTATTGAATTTAAAGGATGTTTCACTTCTTAAAATATAATTATAGATGCACTATTTATTATTATGTAATACATATTTATTGGAGACTAACTTTATTCTTGCAAGCTTAGTTATTTGCAAAATAATTGCAAAGAAACCTGTTAATTGTATCATAATCCGATATATTTTCATAACAATTTAAGGATTCCAATCTAACATCAATTTGTTTTATAGCAATTAACGGATAGGTTACTTTTGTCTTTGAATTAATAATAATTAAACACTTACGAGAAATTTAAGGGCTTGGTTTCAAAATTATAAAAAGAAAAGAATAAAAAAAAAAAAGATGCATTAAAATTTTCTAAGGTTTTCATAAGTATTCATTTAATTCATAAGTGGGGCGAGTTGGTAGGCCATAATTCAGTACATTTTAATTATTTTATTCATAAGTGGGGCGATATGGTAGGCCACAATTCAGTACAGTTTAATTCATTTATTCATAAGTGGGGCGAGTTGGCAGACCTATATTCAACGGGATATTAACCCTTTTCATAAGTGGGCGAGTTGTCAGACCTATATTCAACGGGATTTTACCCTTTTTCATAAGTGGGGCGAGTTGGTAAACAAGAGTGGGGCGATTTTTTAAAAAGTGGGGCGAGTTGGTGGAAAAGTGGGGCGATTTGGTGTGGGGCGATTTGCCAGTGGGGCGATTTGTCATGGATTCGGACAGTTGACCTTTTAGTTTTATTTTAAATCTAACAATAGAAATCTGTTCATTGAGGCATAACTGAGTGGAACTGGAATTTACCTGATCATGGTCACAGTGAGCGAATTTCAATTATTCCTTAACTCTATATGGTCATAATAATGAATGGGAAAAATTGACATTAATAATGATTATGGACTAAGTTTGAAAATAGATCAAAATAATACAGTGACACAAAACTCCCATTGAAAAGAAAATAAGTTAGAGTTTCCCTCCTCATGGAAATATTAAAAGCATTCCAAACAACATTATCAATAAACTTATTAAATTACATAAATTATTTAAATAAAAGAATAATAAAAAAAAATAAGAATATGCAGTATGATAACCAAATGAGACAACACAAATGTCATCATAAGCCCATTCTGTAATTGAGTAAGCTTGGGATAGGCATCATGTACAAAAAGTGACAGGGTTATAAACATGCTTGTGAATGCTCAACCCTCCCCTAACATGGAGCAGTTGTGTAACAGCACAACATATGAACAAAATATATAAATCAGTTGAAAAAGGATTGACTCAACAGATCGACACATTTTAACAACAACAACAAAAAAAAAAAAAACTAACAAAAGATTATAGAACCGAGCCATTAATCACCACATACGAAAAAATATGTAATGATTTGGATCAAGAAATAGTGGCATACTTCTTTTTTTTTTGAGTGATGATGGAAGATGAGGTTATAACCCTTCTTTTTTAATTTTATGATTGTTGTACTCTCTTTATTGTGATAAACACCAGTAAGATTTCTTGTTGTTTATCTGATACATTGTAAAGAAATAAAAAAAAATAATCATTTTAATAATTTGATAACAAAAAGGCAACAATATATAATATAGATCAATATCAACAGTTGAAATGTCAAATACAAAAGGTACTATTTAATGATTATTAAAAGTACATGCACACATGCAATATATACTTTTAAATCACAATTAACATGAACTTGTAAAAACAAAATAAAGTTTTAGACTTCTATGTCATTTGGTGTCTGGTAGGGAGTTGTCTCATTGGCAATTATACCACATCTTATTTTTATAAGTATTACTAACATGAATTTGAAGCTGTTGCTTCTTATTGTCATATACCTGTATATGTATGAAATATTGTCCACTGGACATAAAGCATATACTCAATCAATCAATGACAATCAGTTAATAGATGGTGTTAAAATTAGAAATTAAAGTTTATTAGAAAATAACTTGTACAAACACTTCCTGAAAATGGTCAAAGATGTTAGATGCTTTTCCTATATTACATATTGGCATGGCTAGGAATGTGGTTGTTACTTGGTCAGTGAAGTAGCGAAACAGAATGGCATGAGACTTGTCACAGTTGTGGTTGTTGCTCTCATCAATGGCTATGGAAAACAGTTTAGACTGCAGGTCTCGGACAACCTCTTGATGAAGAGTAGGTGCAAGTGACTTCTTGATGATTTGTGTAGTCTTTGTACGGCTGCATGCAAACTTTGTAGCTATCTTGCTGTCTGTAAACAAGGCTTTACACAGCTTTGTGAAGCAGTCTGCAAGTAGAAAGGAGATGTTGTGCTGTGCTATGAAGTTGGACCACATGACCTCAGCTTTGATAATACCTGAAAAATTAAAAAAAATAAATAAATAATAAATCTACAGCATTTTATGAATACATTTTAGCCTTCTAATAAACAACCAATGGTTAACATTCAAGTCATTAATGAAGGCCGTGTTAGGAATTTTACCTTTATGACTTAATCAGATTAACTAAGAAAACAATGCAATAAGTTGTATCAACACGTATAATTTAATTATCATGCAATTAAGAATTCAATAGTGGTTTACTAACAGATTAAATAATTAAAATACTGTAAATTCAGAAATTATTGCGTGCATTTATTATTGCGATTTTGTCATTTTGGACTAAAATGTGATTTTATTTTTTGCAATATTGAGAAAAATCCTGTTTAATTCATATAAAAATTTCAAAATGCGAGTTTAAACTATTGCGATTATAACCCTGTCGCATTTTTTGAAATATTAAAAACATTGCAATAATTTCTGAATTTACAGTATTTACTCAATTTTAGATGATTATTAAATGATCATAATCAAAATATTGTACATATATTATCACTTTAAATATGACAAGATATTATTTATCAACAGTTAATAATTGACATTTCACAAATTAAACTGATGAATACTTGTAAATGTTTACATTATAACAAATAAAATCATATCATTAGAATCAAGACCAAAAGACAATTTGTCAACGTATATTTGTTCCGCCTAACAGAAGTTCCACTGGAAACTTTGTTATAAACAATGTCATAATATCTGTTCCTGTTGGAACAAATATTCTATACCATTTATTCCGTTAGGAACATTTACTGTAATATTTATTCCAGTGGAAATAATATTCCAGAATATTGTTTCCATAATTAACTATTTATGTTTAATTTATTAAAAGAGAAAAAAGACTAAAACACTTGTGCCATAGTTCTATAAAAATAGTTAATGATATATTCAAAATTTTACCTTCATCATTTGGTCATGTTGGTCGAACGAAGAAGTTAGTGACAGGCTTGGTGGTGTTCTGTGTACTACTAGCATAATTAATTCATGCAAAGTTATCAAATTTTTCACAATTTTAGCATTTGTGCTAATTTTCAGACGGTTTTTGTCTAAAATGGAAGTGGCCGCACTTGTGTTCAGTCTTAATATTTAAATGTTGTATTTGATGATTAAACATATTAAACATATATATAGGTGGAGACTGAACACGAATGTGGCCACTTACATATTAGACAAAAACTGTCTGAAAAGTGATGTTTTATGGCATATCTGACAGATTTTTCATATCTAAGCTTGAATTTGAGTGTCTTTAATGACCAAATCAGTTTAAATCGTTTACTTAAACTAACTGAAACGACTGAAGTAGACACTCATGTGTTTAAAAAATGTCAAACATCTTTCATCAAATGTACTTCAAATTTTAGGCAAAAATTAGCCCTTACTGGAAAAGTTGTCTTTGTCATTAACGGAGATAGGAAAAGAATTTGTAAATCACAAACAAATAAGATGAGAGTGTGATGAAATTCCATACTTAATAGATATTAATTTGACCTGTTGATACTATTTGTAATGCTTTTTTGTTATTTAATTTTTACTTATTCAGGGTTATATCTTGTCTATATACCAGCTTTGATAAGTGTTTGGTATGACTATAAATTTTCACTCCTTCATACTTTGAACAACAAAATTATTTATTTTGTAAACAATATTTCCGTTCTGCATTTAAACTGTATACCTTACAACAAAATTATTTTCATTTACCTGTGTATATAATTGTATTTGGTGGCTTTTTAAAGGTTGTTGTTGTTTTTTTTTTAAATTGTTTAACATCTCACAGCGGTATACTACTGTTGCCTTTATTTATTCACCCCTTATTTTATTGATTTTGTATTTTCATTGTATCATAGATCAAATTTATTCGTTCAGTGTATGTTCAATTGTGTTAATATGTCTTTTGATTGAGTTAAGCCATTTCAATTGATATTTTATAGTGTGTCTTTCTATGTTGTGATGTTACACTATTGTTTCAGATAAGGGTGAAGGTTGGTACCTATTAAAACATTTAAACCCGCTGCATTTGTTTGCGCCTGTCCTAAGTCAGGAATCTGATGTTCAGTAGTTGTCGTTTGTTGATGTGGTTCATAAGTGTTTCTTGTTTCTAGTTTTTTATATAGATTAGACCGTTGGTTTTCCCGTTTGAATGGTTTTACACTAGTCATTTTTGGGACCCTTTATAGCTTGCTGTTCGGTGTGAGCCAAGGCTCTGTGTTGAAGACCGTACTTTGACCTATAATGGTTTACTTTTACAAATTGTGACTTGGATGGAGAGTTGTCTCATTGGCACTTATACCACATCTTCTTATATCTAATTACAAGAAATACGACTTTGAAAGTAAAACAGTGCAGTTTTAGTAAGATACATTCAATTTTTTCATCACATTTATATGTGAAGAACCTTTAGCTAAAACAAAACACATGCAGTTGTATGAAACACCAAATCAGAACAAATGACTGTTAATGTTTTGTTGTTTATACATCGTTATGCAATGCTATGAAAAGAAATTTGTAATTATTAATTTGATTTTGATATTTATCAGTAAAAATTGGATATATCACAAGATTTTTTTATTAATTTTTCTAGTTTTTACCTATTATCTCAAAAACAATATTAGACCGGTAGAAACTGTAAACAGTAAAAAAAATCTGCAATGCAAGATATATTTTGACAGATGAGTGATTTAGTCTCTTAGAAGCCCCTTGATTTTAATTCTTGATATAAATTTTATTCTTACTTATTGGCATACCTGTCAACCTATGAAAATGAAAATGCAGGTCATGACCTGCATTGAAGAAGAAAATCTCAGGTCATAACGCGTACAAACTTTTTATGTCCCCGCCATAGCGGAGGGGGCATTAAGTTTAACCCTTGTCCGTCTGTACGTCCGTACGTCTGTACGTCCCAAAATTGGTTTCCGTTCTCTAGTTTGCCTCAACCAAATGTTATTAAACTTTACACAATGCTTATTACCACAAAACACAGATCAAGTTTGAATTTTGGTAGCGTCACTTTAACGTTCTAGAGTTATGCCCCTTTATAAATAGTAAAATTGCAAAATTTTTCATTCTGTTCTCTAACTTAAGTTTGCCTCAACCAAATATTATGATACTTATACACAATGCTTATTACCACAATCCACAGATCAAGTTTGAATTTTGGTGGCGTCACTTTTACTGTTCTAGAGTTATGTCCCTTTACAAATGGAAAAATTGCTAAATTTTTCATTTTTTTTCTAAAAATATCAATGATGTCATTGTTCAAGTAATTTTTAAAATTGGAGTTATCTTCCTTTGTCCATGATTATAGTTGAATCAACTACAATCAATGCTTTATACAATGCAATGTTTAATTTTGCCTTCCACTGATAAAACAAAGATCAAGTTGAATTTGGGTAGTGTCACTATAACCATTATTGAGTTATGCCCCTTTATAAATCGAAAAATTGCAAAATTTTTAGTTTCCGTTCTGTAACTTAAGTTTGCCCCAACCAAACATGAAACCTATACACAATACTTATTACCACAAAACTAAGATCAAGTACAAATTTGGGTAGTGTCACTTTTATAGTTCTTGAGTTATGTCCCTTTATAATGTTGTATGCAAGCGGGGGCATCATCTGTGTCCATGGGGACACATTCTCCATTTATTTTTATGTATTTCCACATGTACAAGATGTAGCATGGTGAAATCATTATGAATATAAGTGCACATGACAACAGATAATTACTTTTTAAAAGAGTCATTTACCCTAAGAAATGTAGGTCAAGGTGTGAATTGATGGCTGCTTAACTTCCAGCAGCAAATACTAGGGTATTACATGCTAATTCAGATGCTAACACCATTCTTTGCTCTTACTGCTCAATGCTGCAAGTTGGCAAAGAAGCAGCATCAACCAATTTTATATACATATGTACTTACAAAGTATTATTTAATTTAGATTTGTTGTAGATTTAAAAATCTCCTTGTTCATGCTATCAGAACCAAAGCAATCAATGTTCAGTTGGTCAAGACCAATTTTTTTTTTTTTTTCAGGCATTTTGAATCCCCTTGATAGTCCCCACCATATGAGAGCAGACGACAATTGCCAGTTCAGAGAGGGGGTAGTGTTAGATAAACCTGTGAAGACTGGCAAGGGATCTTTTGCTAATGTTGGTCTTCTAAAGGTAAATCTATTACATATATTATATATTTAAACAGTATGTAAAGAATGGGTCAGAATTAAACTACATGTCATAAAAAATGCTTGGATACAAATTCTGAAACCTTCCTTATATTATCTATGAAACTGAGGATAATATGAATCCAGAAGTCTCAACTATCATTTTCAAGTTTTAAGTTTTCAGTGTTATCAATATTAAATTACATAATTGCCAAAATTGCCATATTTGTTGTTTGAAACTAGTAATATTCAAACAAACATGATATATTGTACTTTTTGTTTCACAAACATGATATATTGTACTTTTTGTTTTACAAACATGATATATTGTACTATTTGTTTCACAAGCATGATATATTGTACTTTTTGCTTCACAAACATGATATATTGTACTTTTTGTTTTACAAACATGATATATTGTACTTTTTGTTTCAAAGCAACAGCTGCATAATTAGAACAATACAGTATTTAAAAACTTCAGAAAACTAAAACACTGCCTCAAATGAAAAACATAAATGTAATTGATGTTCACCAGTACAAAACATGACTAGATCAATCAGATACACAATTCTGGTTTTATCTAGTGCAAATTTGAGTTGTCTCCCCTTGATTGTTTTTACATAAGCTCCTCTTGAGTCCAACTTCAGTTGAGTTGAAATATTATAACTCTTGCGGTTTCAAGATAACTCCAGTCAACTGTATTTGAGAATTTCATATGTTTATTTCACTTTTTTGTAAATCTACATGTCATAAAAAATGCTTGGATACAATGCACAAATTCTGAAACTTTCCTTATATTATAAATGAAACTGAGGATAATTGATGAATCCAAAAGTCTCAACTATCATTTTCAAGGTTTAAGTTTTCGGTGTTATCAATATTAAATTACATAATTGCCAAAATTGCCATATTTGTTGTATAGTTGCAACAACTACAGCAAGATTAGGTTTAAATAATTTGGTTCCAAGATAACACTAATGCTGAGCTTCACAAAAAAGCCTAGAATTGTATGAATCACACAACAGACAAGTAATGTTGATCATACAAACTGTGTTTATATGTTTACAGAAAGAAGTACAGATAGATAAACATTTACAACCAGGAATAAGAGTTACAGTCAAATTATCTGACCAAGATCCAGGTAAAATTTATTCCATATTCTAGTTGTTCAATTTCCTTATTAATTCCAAAATATCAACTGCTATCATGTACAACCATCTTTACGACCTACTTTGAGGTTTTATTATAATTTGCAAAGTTCATCACAATTAAGTCCATGAAACAGAACATCTTCTTTTAAATTGAGGATAAGAAATGTTAACTGTTACATAAAATGTAATTTCCAGACAGTTTGCACATAGCAACATACGTGTAATAATCATTTTATTTTAAAAAGTGATTCATGAGTTTTACATTTGCACCATACAGTTTTTCTATTACAATTTGCAGATTTGACATTTCAGGTCAACATTTCTTAACTTGTTAAAATGAATAATTATTCCCTTGAATTAATGCAGTCAATGATAACAAAGTATTGTTTTATTTATAGAGAAAAAGAAATGGAAAGGCATAGTTGTATCACCATCTACACCACAGAAAGAAGCTGATTTGTACTGGGGATACAATGTCAGATTAGCCAGTAGTTTAGGTGCCATGTTAACTGAGTGTCCATATAAATCTGGTTATGATCTGACCATTGGTACTTCAGAAAAAGGATCACATATAGATACATTTACAACATCGGATGGTTATCAGTAAGTTATCAGTAAGGAAAATTTATTTAACTATTCAAGATGTGTCTTTAAGTAGAAGTATAATTTCTAATTCTTCAGTACAAACTATGGTAATTTGGTATCAGCTATTTTCATCCTCACTGTGCTGTCTTATTATCGGCAATTTTTACATTTCCCTTTGATCTTACTGCCTAATATTTTCAAGATCATGGACAGGACTTGATACTCGAAAATATTAGGCAATGCCAAAATGTATAAGTACAGCAACATCACATGTTCGTGTCCATCCGCTTCAATTTATCAATGAAGTGCACACGACTTCATTCATACAACCGAACAACTATCCAAACATTTTGTATGCGAAAAAGTAGTTTTACTTATTATTTCATTTTACTTCATACTCTCAAGCAAAAAAAAAAATACGGTTAAGACAAATTACTGATAAAAAGAATAATGGCATTTTATTTTTTGCTACCGACTTCATCAACTTGTCCTAAGGGAGCTACCATTTGATTTTTATGGGGGGGGGGGGGGGCTAGAATGAAATTTGAAAAAAATAGGCAGGACAGGAGTTTTGAGTAAAAAAAAAAGGCAGGATGACAATATATGTAAAAAAAAAAAGTCAGGATAAACTAAAAAAAAGGCAGGACCGAATAGAGTTAAAATATAAAGGCAGGACCGAATAGAGGGAAAAATAAATAGGCAGGACAAATTTTTCATCCTAGCCCCCCCATAAAAATCAAATGGTAGCTCCCTAACGAGCTCGCTTGATATTCTTGCTGATGAAGTCATTATTAAAAACAAAAATGCCATTATTCTATATATAGAAAGTCATTCTATTCAATGACCTAGACATAAAAGCAAAGATCCAATGAAGATGTGCTACTGGTTATAACATTGAATGCTAAAATATATGTTAATAAAATTTGTTATACTTTACGTTAAAATGCCATATTTTGATTGGCTAATATGAGGGAGATTATTATACCCGCTTTAAAAAAGTGGGGTTATACCCCCACTTTAAAAAAAGTGGGGGTATACTGTTTTACCTCTGTCTGTCTGTCCATTCATCTGTCTGTCCATTCATCTGTCTGTCCATCCATGGTCAGTCCGTCAGTCTGTCCATCCGTCCTATGAAAATTTTTCGTCGCACTTTTTTCAGGAACTACAATACAAGGATTTCTGAAATTTGGTTTCAGGGTTTATATAAGTTGGCTATACAGTGTGATGTGTTTTCAGATTCATCACTCAACAACTTCCTGTTTACCGAAATATTTGGGCAGGGGTATCATCAGTGAACAGTAGCTCGCAGTTTAACTTGTTTTACTCTATTTCAATTTTTATACAAACGCAAAAAAATTTTGTGGTCATATATTGGTATGACGTTGGCGGCATCGTCGTATTCGTCCGGCGTCGTTGTCGTCAGAAGACACATTGGTTTTCGCACTCTAACTTTAGTTTAAGTGATTAAATCTCTATGAAATTTTACCTTAAGGTTCAATACCACTAAAGGAAGGTGGGGATTGATTTTGGGGGTTATGGTACCAACAGTTAAGGAATTAGGGGCCAAAAATAAGAATTTTTGTAACTTCCAGACATAACTTGTGTGTATGGATCTCTCTGACATTGTACCACAAGGTTCCATATCACAAAGGGAATGCTGGGATTGATTTTGGGGGTAATTGCCTCCAAATTATAGGAATTAGGAGCCAAAAAGGGGCAAAAAACAAGCATTTTTCTAGTTTTGTGACAATAACTTGTGTGTAAGTGTATGGATCTCTCTGACATTGTACCACAAGGTTCCATATCACAAAGGGAATGCTGGGATTGATTTTGGGGGTAATTGTCTCCAAATTTTAGAAATTAGGGGCCAAAAAGGGGCAAAAAACAAGCATTTTTCTAGTTTCATGACAATAACTTGTGTGTAAGTGTATGGATCTTTATGAAATTGTACTACAAGGTTCCATATCACAAAGGGAAAGCTGGAATTGAGTTTGGGGGTAATTGCCCAAAACGTTTAGGAATAAGGGGCCAAAAAGGGGCCAAAAATAAGCATTTTTCTAGTTTCCAGACAATAACTTGTGTTCAAGTGTATGGATCTCTCTGAAATTGAATTGCAAGGTACCATACCACAAAGGGAAGGCTAGGATTGATTTTGGGGGTAATTGTCTCCAAATTTTAGGAATTAGGGGCCAAAAAGGGGCAAAAAAACAAGCATTTTTATAGTTTCAGGACAATAACTTGTGTGTTAGTGTATGGATCTTTATGAAATTGTACTACAAGGTTCCATATCACAAAGGGAAAGCTGGGTTTGATTTTGGGGGTAATTGCCCTAAAAGTTTAGGAATTTGGGGCCAAAAAGGGGCCAAAAAACAAGCATTTTTCTAGTTTCCAGACAATAACTTGTGTTCAAGTGTATGATCTCTCTGAAATTGTACTGCAAGGTACCATACCACAAAGGGAAGGCTGGGATTGAGTTTCGGGGTGATGAATCATAAGGGGGTTCAAAAAATTTGGGAGGGGATTTTTTTTTCCTTTTTTTTCTTTAAAATTTTCCATTTTAAATTGGTTATTTCTGATTTATATATTAAAGCAAATAATAATGATATGGTTTGAATAGGTAAATTAAAATTTTTTAAGTTATTAGACCACATTCATTCTGTGTCAGAAACCTATGCTTTGTCAAATATTTAATTACAATCCAAATTCAGTGCTGTATCAAGCTTGAATGTTGTGTCCATACTTGCTCCAACTGTTCAGGGTTCGACCTCTGTGGTAGTATCAAGCTGCACCCAGCGGAGCATTTTATTAGCACTTTAGATGCCAGTGATGTAATTTGCCAGTCAGAATTTACTTCATTCTTGTGGGATACACCATTGTATAACTTCATAATAATTGTGATTATACCATTTTGATTACAGATTTCCATGACACATCAATGGTTAGAAGGAAATCTCCCGGTCAGTGCTAAATGTACAGTCTGCGACAAAACTTGTGGTAGTGTACTTAAACTGCAGGACTGGAGATGTCTCTGGTGTAAAGTCATGGTAGATTTTAACAAATTCAAAAGAGACTTAAGGGGGTACATAACACCTAAGGGAGTTAACCCTTTAAAAACCAGGTAAACGCTTTAATCACAAAGTATTAGTAAAGAGAAATTAAGCTTCTTAATGATCTAAAATAGTGTTTGTCAAACTGCTATATATCCCATGAAATTATTATTTCTGTAAATTGTGTGGTTCAAATTTTTGGAAATTTCTATATTTTTTTCAACAGGTCAAAATAAATATTCTGTCAGAATTTTATGAACATTAAACGAGCCAAATCTATTTTAGTCAAAGTGTTGGGTACCCTCTTGAAAAAATATTAAAATTTCAGTATGTAGTGTTTGTTATTGTCTTGCAATTGATTGATTGTTGCTGGCTTAGTGCCGTGTAGTGGTAAATATTCTAGGCAATTTCAGGAAGAGAACTTTTAACAATTAAAACAATAGGTAGGTTCTTCTAAGTGGGTCGACAAGAATGAAGTGCCTGTAAAGTTCAGTTGAAAATGAGGGTGTGTTGGATAGGCAGGTATGTTTAAGGTGCAAAATATTGCCTTGCAACAGGCCACCTGTAGACCCCTCAGTGAGTTATTACATATTTCTCCAACAAAAATTATTTAAAAGACTTGTGCAAAGATGAACAGACGTCGTAGAGAATTGTGCTTGCCTTTCAGCATTTCATGAAACATTACTACTTGTATATTGAACTTAACATAAGAATTTCACTAAATGTAAATGAAAAGAATGATGAAACAAAAAGATGTATACTTTCTGCTTGTTTTAGCTTTCACTTTTTATTTCATTTATTAAATATTTATTATGTTTGCTTCAGGTACACTCAAATTGTAAAGAAGAACTGTCAAGAAAATGTCCACTTGGTCAGTGTAGAGTGTCTATACTGCCACCTACAGCTATTAATAATATAGACTCAGATGGATACTGGGAAGCTACACGACCAAATCGTACTAGTCCCTTACTTGTATTTGTAAATACAAAATCTGGTGATAATCAGGTATATAACAATTTATCTTAGTTCACACAAAAAAAAAGGTTTTTTGGCTGATTTTTTTATTTTTGATAAGGCAGTGTGCAGCATCTTTTTGGTTTAACTAGCATGACACCACAGAGATGCCACCTTTGTGGACACATTTTTCTCAAACTGATTAACCACATTTGAAATCAAGTTTGAAGTGCTTTTTACCTAAAAAAAATATTCTTTTGTGAAAGACTTTGTGTTGTAAAATAAAACCAATGGCTGAACCAAAAACAAAAATTTCTGAATTTTACTTAAGTGAAAAGAAAAACAAACAGTTTATGACAGTAATAAGGGACACAGGTGCTTGAGATGCTATTATTTGTTCGCCTGTATATAACATTTATGCAGTGATCAGAAATATCTAATAGATAAAGGTAAAGGCTTTATCATATCCATCTGATACCATTGTTATTATTATTATTATATGATACTCCAACTCAAACATTGTCTGTCTGTTTGTCCAAAAAGGTTTTTGTCACACTTTTTTCTCAGGAACTACTGTACAGAAGGACTTCATATTTGGTCAGCAGCTTGAAAGTGATGAGTTGTAATGCATGGATCTGTCAGACACTTACATCTTGTTTGCTTATACTTAACTTTTCATTATGTTGAATAGACTATGTTCTGAAGAATATTTGTTTATAATGGTACATGTAATACATTAAAACATAATTACAAAAAAAAAAGGTTCAGTATATATATTCATGTAGATGTTAACAGTTAGTTCATTAGTAATGGTATATTTATACATAACTTGGTTTTTATAAGCATAAAACTTCTGTTTTATAGGGTGTAAAGTTTTTACGACGATTTAAACAGCTTTTAAATCCAGCTCAGGTTTTTGGTCTCATGAATGGTGGACCTCATCCAGGGTAAGTAGCTGGGAATCTTTGTATTATTCAAACTGTTCTGTTGTTTAATGTAAATTTTGTAAAGGTGTGTTCCCATTGTGTAATTGATTAATGGATGTTCGAATAAATGATTGATTGATTGTTGGTTGCTTAACGCCCAGTGGCAAATATTTCATGCATATTCAGGACGAGAAAAAGTTAACAATAAATACAATAGGTAGGTTCTGTAATAGAGGCGTCCGGGATTAAGGTCGGAGAAATTTAGACTGCCAAATTTAGTCCTGCAACAGGTCAACTACGGACCCCTCAAAGAGTTGTTGAAAGGGTTCTTAACATACAAAGAGCGTGGCACTCTCTTTACATGAGGCATCGGATTTAACGTCCCCATTCTGATAGGACGTGGCTGCAAATTTGTACATCCCACACAGCCAAACGGATGTCCCACTTTGGCGAGGGTTTTACTGCCGGTCGGAGGAAGACCAATGGTGACCATACTTCTATTCCCCAGTCACCCTTTGGGGGGAGTCAGAATAAATAAATCCCTTTTATATATATAAGTGCCTAGAAAGTCAACTTAGCAATGTTAGATGTAAGAGTAGATCTGGTTATTTACTTCCTCCCCGACCACTGTATCACAAAATATATACAACTAAAGTGATGTATTTATTTATAAGATCAGCTACGTTTTCTTTTTTAAAAACATTCATTTCTTGAAAAATAGAAAAATAAAAATTTTAATATTTCATGTTTAAAAGTATAAAAACTTGCATTAAAACCAGTAAAAATCTGATATGCATTTGTCTTGATATGAAATGAGTATAGTATATTGGTAGAATATATAAAAATCTCTGAGATATATTATTCCCAATATTTTTAATTTTGATATATATGTTTTCAGAGTAAGATTATTCTAGAAGTTTGATCAGTTTAGAATATTACTATGTGGTGGTGATGGTAGTGTTGGATGGGTCTTATCAGAAATTGATAAATTAGAACTGCATAAAGAGGTAATTTGCATGACACTCCTTTGAAAGGTCTACATCTTGAGAAAACACTAGAAGACTTTCTTGTTATATAAATTTTTCATCAATATTGCATTAATTCTAGAATGTACAGAAAAATGTGTGCATGAAACAAAATAACAAATTTAAAATCTATTCTACTATTTCACAGTCATCCTTCTTTGTAACACTATGATATTTATTTTTTGCAGTGTCAGATAGGTGTTTTACCCTTTGGTACTGGTAATGATTTAGCCAGAGTACTAGGATGGGGTTCAACATTTGATGCTGAAACACAACTGCCTGTGATATTAGAAAAACTAGAACATTCACAAATAAAAATGTTAGATAGGTCAGTACTGTAAAGTTTTACATTTGATTATAAGACTGTTCTCTATACATAGTTCACAAATTACAGACAAACATAGGACAGTTCTTTTTAATCATAGCTCTCAAGTGTACATACACATATGCATGGTCTCTCGTCATTTACAAGTGCTTTCTGTCAAAATGGAAAAAAAATTTTTAGAAAAATTAGATACATGTACTGTAGACTTGGTGCAACTGAAAACAGTAAAATACCAAATAATTTACAAAAATGCTGGTATTTGTAACTTTTCTCTTATTATGCTTTTGGATTATCTTTGTTACAAAATAAAATGACATAAAACTTAACTATCTTAGTATGGTTCACAGCCATCAAGAGGTTTTGATTCAATCCATAATGAATAAATTATGTGATCATTCTTTTTGTTTAGTTTCCTTTTTTACATCAGCTATTCTGTAAAACAGTATCCAAAAAGAGGTTATATTAAGAGATCATATGCAATGGGTTTTAAACATGTATTTAATTGTTTATGATTTCAGAGCAATTTGTAAAGTTCAAATTAAACAAATATTTCAATTAAAACTATATCTTATGTATTATTAGCGAAAATTACTATTAAGTCAGCCATAAAAATCAATGTTAACACCACCCTTATTTGTTATGGTATTTTTTTATTTCAGATGGAGTATATGGACATATGAGGGTACCATGCTTCCACCTCGTAAACTGTCTCAGCAGGTATAATCATAATGGAAAAATTGAATATAAATAGTTAACAGAAATCTCAGAGAATTATTTTTTAATGCCTCTACATCACATGATAACAAAAAATAAAAACTCACACACTTTTTAAAAAAGAATATATCAAAAATCTAGCTAGAGTTTTGATTCACTAAAAAAATACATGAGGAATATGTATATGATTACATGACTGAAAGCTCATATTCACGATGATAGATAATGTAAACATACAAAACCTTCTTTTTACTCTATATCATATAGCTTTAAAGCTGTAAGTATTTTATTACAAGGATGATTGTTTTTGTTACATTTTATTTTTATTTTTATTTTTTTTTTTTTTTCATATTGCTGGAATGGGATAAATTGTTGTCTTGAAAGAGGAAGTATGATTTGGACCATTATTTGGCCCCTGAAATGGCAAAACAATTGTAGAATTTTTAAATCGTTTCAAATTTGTTAATTTTTTAGATATATGAATATGAAGATGGTATACGCTGGTCTTGTCATTTATGGTGTCCTCATGGTTTTATAAATATATCATAATTGACTTCTTTAATCAGAAAGGACAGTATTACACATATTTTTCCCATGTTCAGAATGTGAGCTACAAACAAACATGGACTTCTTCAAATATTAAAGATACTTATTCCACCTAACACAATCTTTCTTTCTTAGCAGAAGTAAAGATAAAAATTATTTTATTTTTCTGAGTTTTATGTGAAACAGTAAAAGATTTTGTTGCCAAAGTAGGAGAATCTTACAAGACTGAAGGCAAAGAAACTGATATATCTGATAAAGTATACACTGATTTGATTGTAAACTTATATATAAACTGCTAGAATTCTAATAGTGCAAGTCCTGAAAAAGGAATCACTCAGTTAGAACTAAATTTCTAGGCAATTTATTTTATATGAATTCAGGAATATCTAATTGTATGTTATTCTTTAGTATGGTTCATATTCTGTTCTTTACAACGTTTTTCTACATGATCTGAAAATCAGGAAAATTGGTGGTCAGATAATTTACTTTTATAAGTTATATGGTTTGCTACTGACCCCATACGGATCAATAGACTAGGGTTAGTTATATCCATAAGGGTGAGGCAGAAGACCGAATCCCTTATGCATTTTACTAACCCTCTATGGATCTGTAGGGGGTAAGTAGTGAACCTTATAACAAATTTATCGCACACAGGACTTTTTCTGTCAAGTTTTGTATAAAAATAAACAATGAAATACATTAACATTAACAGATAATGTCACCATTAAAAGTAGACTTGATGTCACACTACCACATGACGGCATTAAACCAATCATGTCACAAATTTACCCTGGGTGTAATAAAGTATGTTATGGGGGTACAATTATTTAATAAACTGCACTCAAAGTTAATATATAAAATTAAATGGTAAAAGTCAATGAGACTGCATTCTAACAAGGCAACCAACCTATAAAAAAAAAACACAAACTGAAACAGACATTGTATGAGTTAAACAAACTAAAACAGACATTGTATGAGTTAAACAAACTAAAACAGACATTGTATGAGTTAAACAAACTAAAACAGACATTGTATGAGTTAAACAAACTAAAACAGACATTGTATGAGTTAAACAAAATACTTTAACTTTCATTAAAACAATGGAAAATATGCCAAAACTCAGACTGTAATCACTGTAATATTACAAAAGATTATGAACACTTTTTTATTACATGCCACTTTCTTGATAAATTTTGGAAAGAAATATTTAATCTGTTAGAAAAAGTTAAACTTGGAAAACACATTTTAACACTAAAAAATTTGATTTGGGGTTACAAAATAAGTGATATAGAATACTATGATATTAATTTTTTTCTTACAGTGATTATGTTTTCAATTCACAAAATACACTATCTGTCAGAGTTTAGAACAAAGAATATTAATGTATTTTCTGTTTTTAAAACTGAGCTTAGAAATAGGCTCATTCTACAAAACAAATTTTTTAACCATGAAAGAAAAGGTATATTAGAAAAAATATTTAGATGTATTTGAATTGTATGAACTGATAACATGGTTAGTAATGTTATCTTTGTGTAATAATTAATTTATTATCTAATTTTGTATTTATATAATTATGATGCATGATAGACATTGCAAATTTTATTATATTTATATAATCTGGTAAGATGTATATACATTACAAAAAAACACAGCACAATCGTTTTTCGATTATCGTATGACTATTAATCCTTCAAATTATAACTGTCTTACCTGAATAATGATGTAGAAAAAGCTAATTACAATCTTTTTCGATATATTGATTAAAATAAACAGTTATCCGGAAACACATGGAAACTGGTAATAGGTTATAAATTATCCCAAACTCGGATGAACTATGAAATTCCGAAAAAACGCCAGATGATATAAATACTTTATTATAATAACAATAACATTATTTATCTATTGATGTTATATTAATATTTTGTAAACGACTTACAATATGCAGTTTATCTACCTGAAGAATTCCTGAACTTCTGGTACTAATGAAACAGGGACCTTCACTGAGATAGCTGTGTCAGTGGAGTAATTGTTAACAGCGTGTGCAATACTGTTGTTGAATAAAAAAAAAAAAAAAAAATAAAACTTTCATTTCAGTGTAATGTATTAAATGAAATATTAGAAACTTTGCTCACAACGTTAGAAGAAGAAGCTCAAGCCTCTACTCAGGTTAGTAGATATCAAAGGATTTTTTTCTAATCTGTATGAAAAAAATCTGTATACTGAGAGATGGAGTATTTACCAAAAGTAAATACTGTTTAATTGTTCATAGTTTTCAAAAGTAAAAATATGGGGAATCAATTTTATAAAGAAAAACTTCTTTTTTTTTCAAAACTGAAAGCAATAAAATTCCTTGAGCATTTTAGAGATACTGGTTCATTTGTCTGTATGGAATTAACAAAATTCATGAATTTGCAGGTACCAAAGAAGACAGAGCCTGAAGCTTGTATAGGTTCTCCTGACAAAGATATAGTCCCAAATGAAATCACTACAAATATAACAAATACCAAATCTGTAAGTATAGAGATTAGCCAAAGACTTGACAGATCCACTTAAAAACTTGAAATTTCAAGTTACAATTTTATATTCTAAAATAAATTTTTATGCCTTACAGAATTTTGTCATTTTCTTTCATGTTTTGATTTCATTTATTTCATTTTAGTGTTGATACATCAGGTCAACAATTAAACACACTTATTTTCATTTATTTCTTTGAGGAAAAGGACTGATGATATCAAATGCATAGCACAAAATCCCATGACAAGTTGATATTTATCTTGAATATATAAATAGAGAATATCATATGGCTTTTTCAATATCACACCCGTATCAACCCGAGATACCAATATAATCCCAAGAGCTCTGCTGGAGGAATTATATTGGTTGAGGGTTGATACGGGGTGTGATATTGAAAAAAAACATATCATATACACTTTATTATATATACCTATTACATGCTTTTTTTTTCTCAAGCAATACAGAATAGGGGTTTGATTAGGCTTTTACAACCGTGACTGATATTGATGACGTGACGTCATACAGATTAGGGGTTTGATAAAGCCTTTACAACAGTAACTGATATTGATGACGTGACGTCATACAGATTAGGGGTTTCATAAAGCTTTTGTAACCGTGACTGATATCGATATCATCATGGATGGTTGATACAGCACGATTGGCATTGATTGTATTACACATACAATATACCTGTATTTACCACTAAGTATATAATAAAAAAAAATATTATCCAGCTGCTAAAATCTGATCCGGTCGATTGGGATGAGATTATGAAACCTATAAATTTGGAACTACACCTTTTAAAGAAATTTTTATAATAGAAAGAATGATATTAAATGTATAGAAAAGATTTTGAGGTTTATAGGGGAAATAAATCTACTTTATAATTGATAGTTATCATTATGGTTTTCATTTTCACAAGTTTTGTCAAAAATCCAGTTTTGGAATTTCATAATTAGAAAGGATATAAAACTCTTATTTGGAAATACATTGGATTAAAATTCTATTAAATCAAGTTATGTTTTTAAATGATGGTTGTTGTTAATTTTGCAGTTACAAAATAAATATTATACCTTGCTTACAGCTCTTTTCATAATGCTAGCAAGACAAAGGTTTGTTTGGCTTGCTTGCTTTGTTTGTATCAATGTTTTCTCAAGCATTGTAATTAAGATTGACATCTGAAAACAACATAAAAAGGGCGGATTTATACTTGTATACATTATATTTAAATTTGATTGGACATTATCAAATAATCAAATTTGCCTATACACAGGTTTTTTTTAACTCCGCCTACTTATATTGTTTGCAGATGTCAATCTTAATTACAATGCTTGAGCAAACATTTATACAAACAAAGCAAGCAAGTCAAACAAACCTTTGTCTTGCTAGCATTATGAAAAGAGCTGTAAGTAAAATATTGAAAATTATCAGGTCAAATCTATGATCACGCACACTATGCCTTAAACTAATGAGTAAGGAAAATAATGAGCCTGGGTAGACACAGGCTCCCTAGTTAATCTAGGAATATTATGTGCAAGGATACAGGTTACCCCCATGGTGACCCACTTACTTTGTGGGATGCCTTGGTTGTTGTGATCTGCCTGAACCCTATATTCAATATAAAAGTAGAAAAATTGTTTGGAAGCTTTTTCTGTATTTTGTTGGTTATATAAATGCCATACATTTTAATGAATGTCAATTATTTTTCAGGCAATATTTAAACCAAGAGATGCTTTATTGTCCAGAGCCAATAGTTTAAAGAAAGCTGTCCGACAAATCATTGAACATACAGAGCGAGGTAGGTTTATATTTGTATATTTTGTTCAAATGCCCTAAGAAGGTCTATCATTGATTTTACTTTTACCAATTAGTATACACCAGTATATTTAAATAATGCAATGCTGGAATTCAATACTTACATACATTGAATGTAGTAAATCTTTGAAAGCCTTAATTCCATAACACTGAAAAATACTGATTATATATCTCATGTACATCTTACCTTTATGCCAAAAGTGACATATTTACTGCTTTACATTGTATTGAATATCACACAAAGAAGAATTTCCAATTAAAATATTTTATTGAATTATGCAGTATCAGTCACATTTCCTAAGTTTGATAAAAAAAAAAAAGGATTTTATTTTAACATATTTTTTTGAAGCTGTTGATGAACAAAATGCCCAAACACAACAGTTTCTTGAGAATGAGTCCAGGTCTGTGGGAAGAATTGGACAATAATCATACTGGTTCCTTGTTAGCTGATAACCATACTTCAAGGTCAGCTCCATCATTCTCAGTGTTTACTTCAGAGGAAATGCCACCACGATTTCAGTTAAAGGCCAGTAAAATAGGTAGGTTGTATGCTAATACACATGAAATAAGAACTTTATTAAATGCAATTAAAAAAGAGTTGTAAACAAAAACGTATGTTAAAAACACATGTGTTCACTGCTATGCTCAGAAATTATTCATTTTGTTATACACCACCAATTTTAGGCACATCACTGTATTATGTATAAACACTACCATGATTTTAGTCTCACATCAGTATATCACTATGATTATTTATTTCAGACACATCACCAAAGATATTACCTATATCGTCATGTAGAATTAGTAGTATGAGTACCTTATCCAGTATAGGTTCTAATATGTCTAATAAAAGTTCCTCTAAAGATAACATTCCAATGTCATTATTAGGGTTACCTATAGTGGATTATGGTGCATTACCTAGTAAGCACTCAAGTCATTTAGATTTAAGTCGGAATGTTAAAGATATTTAAATTCTGATGCTCTTGTCATTGAGGGTCCTAATTAGAAAGTATCTTATGACTGAGACAATTTGCTTTAATAAAACCACTTTAGTTTATGTATTAATTATCATGGTATTCATTATTAGAGAGTTTGAAGTAGTTGGTAGAAATATACTTTTGAGATCCCTTCTACATTTTACCATTACAGTAGAGGATTGAGACTTGCTCTGGTCATTTACTTGCTGCATTTCACAGTAAACTTACTTTTATTGAAACTGTATTGAATGTATGAGTGTGGTATTAAACACTAATTAAACAAACAAAGTAATATAACATTCCTCATTTCACTGCACTTAACTCCAAGCACATTATACTTTTATAATTATGCTAATTTGTTGTGAAGCAGTACTAACCAGTTTAAATGTAATTTGTTCTTGCACGTGAATGACATACACTTTGAAACTGTCAAGAGAAGTTCGCCAGTTGATCAGTTGTATTATGAAAGGTATCCTTAAGACTAAAAGTTTATGTTTATTTTTCATATTAACTAAGAAAACATATTTAAATATGCTGTGGACTCATTATTAGTATTCCTGGGAAACTAATTTTCGTGGATTTAGTGGTTATAGGTAAACCATGAATTTAAATGTTCAACAAAGTACAAACTTCCTATATGCTTGTATGTGGACTTTGGCAAAACCACGAAATTAAACATTCATGAATATACAAATTTTCTTCAATCCACGAAAATTGGTATCCACGAATATAAATGAATCCACAGTAGTTGGCTCTTTTTAATCCCACAATCCATAAAAGCATTATTCGGTTATTTGCCTAACTTTCACCAGCACAGAATCATTTCCTATTTATCTCTCATGTAAAAAAGAATGTTTGTTTGCATGACAAGTTGCCTTTTGGTTAATTGCATATAGAAAAAAAAATGACATTTAGACAATTAAAATAAAAATTTAATGGGACAGCAATATCAAGGTTACTCCTTTTATGTAAGAGGACATGTCATTGTTCTAACATGCATTCGTTCATATCTTTTATACATTAATTACCGCAAAAATTTTTTGCGGTGGTATATTGGTATGACGTTGGCGTCGTCGTCGTCCAAAGACACATTGGTTTTCGCACAATAACTTTAGTTTAAGTGAATGGATCTCTATGAAATTTTACCATAAGGTTCAATACCACAAAAGAAAGGTTTGGATTGATTTTGGGGGTTATGGTACCAATAGTTAAGGAATAAGGGCCAAAAAGGGGCCAAAAATAAGTATTTTTGTAACTTCCAGACAATAACTTGTGTTTAAGTGTATGAATCTCTCTGAAATTATACCACAAGTTTCTATACCACAAAGGGATGATTAGGATTGGCTTGGGGGGTTATGGCTCAAACCGTATAGGAATTAGGGCCAAAAAGGGGAAAAACAAGGGTTTCCTGGTTAATGGACAATTTAAAAGCAGTGTAAGGGAGGTAATCCAAAAACAGAATTGTACAATGTTGGATTACCTCCCTTACACTGCTTTTAAATTATCTATTTAAGACTTTTATGATGTATTTAAATTGGTAATTATGGTTGCAAACTCCATTGGAAATTTGAATTGGGATTATGACCATATCTTGAGGGAAAGAATTTTTTTTTTTGGAAAATTAATTTTGTTTTTTTGGGGGGGGGGGTCAATACGCAACAGCATAGTGTATTTCACAACAGCAAAAATAAAGGGGGGGTAATTTTTTTTTTTTTTGGGGGGGGGGGGGGGGTCAATTCGCAACAACATAGTGTATTGCACAAAAGCAAAAAACATATTTATTTTCCCACGAGTACTATTGCATAATTTTTTCATGGAAAGTGAGCTATGTAAATAACTGAAATCCTCTATACTGAATTTGCTATATTTGAAGCATTTATCTTAATTTCCGTACAATAGGAACACTGGAGCAAAAAATATAGAAAGCCAAATATATGTAAATGCATAGGAAGCTGTTCAAATTGTACATTGTAGGATGCTAATATATATAAGTGATCGTGCATATTTCTGACTTACATTTTTGTTCTTAAATGTGAACTTTTAGAGTATTTGGTGTTAAATTTATATTATTTTTGTTTCAGGTCTCTGTAGTAGTATAGCAGCTAAATTAGCTGGTTGTAGTTTTATAAGTAAAGTTCTATTAGCTAATGCTGATGCTTTGTGTGCTGCAGCCTCTCCTTTGATGGAGGAAGAGATTCCATCGTAAGTAATCTGTTAAACAGAAGAACATAAAGTTATTTTCTATTATAAACCTAAATTTTGCCAAAGGCAAAAAAAAACCCTAATAAATTAACACCAGGTAAAAATAGGACAATTGAAAAAAACTCATCACCCTGAGAGTTTATAAACCTCAGTTTTTGTTTATATTACATAAAATTTATAACAATATGTTCTTCATATCATAACAGTTACATAACAATGACTATTGGTTTTATTATGACCTCATAGACTAAACAGACCAATTGTTTTTGTAACAAACATGCAATAATAAAACAAATGGATACCAAATTTAGTGTGTCTATGCCAATTTATTTTATTGAAGAGCGCCTTAAAGTTATGGTCTAAGTTTCATGACCTCCATTTATAGAGAAGAACTGATAATCTTTATGGAAGAAACTGACAAGTACTGAATTTTATAATGTAAAGGGTTTTGTCACTTTCAATATTAAAGAAGAAAGTATTGATGAAAATTTCAGAAATTATTTTCAGTTTACTGATAGTATACTTGGGAATATGCTTTAGATAATGACAAAATTTGAAATTAAGGTAAACATATAGTTGCATATTGTTTTGTTTATAACAAACTAAGATAGTCGAAATTACTATCCTTATTAGATAAAATTTAGTTTTTTCTTATTAACGAATGCTATTCATTATACATACATGTATATCTCAAGAACATAACAAAATATAAAGATATGATTGTGGTTTAAAAATGGATAATACTTTCAATATAGGTACTTGAACAGTAAGTTGATTGGATCCAGTTATACACCTTACTCTTCTTTTTTTTTCAGAAGGGAGTATATTGAAAAATGTGTAATGAATAATTATTTTGGAATTGGTTTAGATGCAAAAATTTCCTTAGATTTTCAAAATAAACGAGAAGAACATCCAGAAAAATGCAGGTATGTATAATAATGAGGGTGGTATACATATTTTATTTTTTTTGGAAGAAGAAATGCAGTTGTTTACAGTATAAAGCAATACAGCACTTCCAAAATAGTCTGTTTCTCCCAATCTGATCTCATTTTACACATGTGACCTCACACCCGTCGTGTGAATATGTCAGACAGTTAGACTTGGTTTCGGACCAACATGTCGTCTCCCTATAATATGTGTCTTGTCACATTAACAGCAAGATTACATGGTTAAAACAGAAAGTTTAAGTGGGAATCTGTTAAAATTTTCTTTAATTGCCTGTGAGAAAGACCAGACAAAGGCCTAGAAAAATGTAATTTGTAGTGTGATTTTTTTTTACCTCAACTTTGAAGCAGCCACTATCTCAGAAATCCCCTATTGCAAAGGGTAATTTTCAGTACATGCATTGCAGGACTTTGTCAGGAATATTCTGAAATTTGAAAATGTCAGTTTGTGAAATGTCTACAGTACTTATCAGTGATTAAACTATTTCAATCAATGGTATCATTCCTGAGAAATATGCTAAACAATACAGTTAATTAAAAAGATTTCCATTGTGACAATATGAACAATTTCACGTTCATTGTAATCTTTGTTTCAGAAGTAGAACCAAAAATTTTATGTGGTATGGTGTTCTGGGTGGAAAGGAAATTTTACAGAGGACATTCAAAAACTTAGATCAACGAGTACAGTTAGAATGTGATGGACAGAAAATTCCTCTTCCTAGTCTACAAGGCATTGTAATACTCAATATTCCAAGGTATGGATCAATTTACTGTAGTTAATATAGACTATAAAAGAGTTTCCAAATTACAAAAAAGGCTCAATAAATATTGCATTTTTTGCTTGAAAACTATAGAATATTTCTGTCAACACATTTGCTTACTTAAGATATGTTGAATTTAATTTTAAATTTGAATTAAAATATTTTTTTTTAATGATGATAGATGTAGGAAGTGGTACTTTAATTGACCATGCGATCACTAAAAAGACCAGGATGTATTTACCAAATTTCTACCAAGTTGTCAGGGAAACTTCAGATCTTCTCAGCAAATCTTTGAAACAGCATATACTTATTATATTTAGGTAGAATGTCTTTATATGACTATGACTTACTTCTTATATAATCTTGATGTCTAGAATTGTTGACCTCACTAAATGCACCACAGTTTTCAATATGGTATTGAAATAATACTGTGAAATCAACAAGCAATGTTTTTGTATTGTTGAAATAACTGTCTTTACTTACAGATCTTACATATGTTTTTTGTATTTCAGTTACATGGGAGGTGCTAATTTTTGGGGAGGAACAAGAGAAAAAGATGTGAGTATATTTTTTAGGTTCATATATTATGTGTATTATGGATTAAAAACAAGATTATAACAATTCAAATTGAAGGAGGACAATGAACTGAAGTAGCTGTATTATTCTTGGAGATGTTTCAGCTAAATATAATATTCTACAGGGAATTTTAAGTCTTGAATTATAACTTACTTTTGAAATTGTAAAAGTAGTCCAATAGTGTTGCAGATTGGTTTTATATAATAAACAATATATTTTAGAGTATTTTTTTGTAAAAAAAAAAATTTGTACTCTTAATCAGAAGTTGACCACAAAAAAATGTAAAGTTCTTAATGTAATAGTTTTTGTCATTTCAGACATTTCAAGCCCCAAGTTTTGATGACAAGATTTTAGAAGTTGTAGCAGTATTTGGTGGTATGCAGATGGCAGTCTCCAGAGTATTAGATATACAACATCATAGAATTGCTCAGGTATTTATATATTTGCTTTACACAGAATCTAAAAATTTGGAATTCTTGCTCTAAAGGGCATATGCATGTAATATTTGCCACTGTACTTTAAGCACCCATTGGTCAATCAATACTGTTGTTTGCTTTCAATGCAGAAGCCGATGTTAAAGGCATATTCAGGACAAAATACCAAAAATTAAAGCAACAGCCAATTTTTAAGGCATATTGCGCTCAAAATCCCAAAAAATCAATGCAATGATCAATGTTTAAGGCATATTCAGGGCAAAACACCAAAAATTAAAGCAGCAGCCAATATTTAACTAAGGCATGTTCATGACAATACCAACAATTAACTCAACAACCAATTTTCAAGCCATAATTAGGACAAAATAAAAAACAGCCAGTGTTAAAAGCATATATTCAGGACAAATATACCAAAAAATTTCTTCATATAATTTATGTTTATGTCTTTTACAGAGTAGAACAGTAAAGATAACAATAATTGGTGATGAAGCTGTTCCTGTACAAGTCGATGGTGAGGCTTGGAACCAACCACCAGGCTATATCAGAATTGTCCAAAAGAACAGAGCACAAATGCTGACTAGGGACAGGGTAGGTCACAGTGCTGTTACAATTCCACAGTTAGTTTTGTGATTGTCATGAGGTTGACATTTTAGCATAGTTTTGCTTGTTTTCAGTTGAATTTAAAAAAACTATTTCTCCTTTATCAAACAAAAGGACTGTCATTTAGGCCCTGTCGACTAGTCTGTCTGTCTGTCCATTTGTAGCACTTCTATAGTGTATCATAAGTCCAGACTGCATCAAGTAAAGCACATTCTTATGCAATGTGTTTATGCCTATTAAAGGAAGGCCTTAGTTTTTGCTGGTGGTCATATGCTATGTAGCATATTTTCTATCCTTGTAAACCACAAAAGTGAGTGGTGATTCTTGTCTGTAGAGCTGGTTTAAGGTTTCTGGACTATATGATAAATGGTGATGGTAAAATGTTATTAAAGTCCACTCAAAAATATACCACATTGTATTTATCAATATCACTCAAAAATGTGCAAGTGGGGCTGTAGCTGACATGCTAGAGTTCTAGTTATAATTTTTTGGTATGCCAGAACTGTTTTGTAGATTTACTGTGATAAATTATTGAATAACACAGCTAGCACATGGATTTGTTTCAGGACATTAGGCACCAAGCACACCACAATATCATCTTGCAAATTATATTCATTCAGGCATTTGAGAAGACCTTAACCCAATGGTCAGAGAAACAGAAAACAGAGAGACCACGGAGTCCTCAAGCCATCCCTCTCTCTGAGGAAGAGTCAATAGTTTTACAGAGCTTTGTAGAGGCAGCATCCTCCCTTATAAAGTGGTTTGTACCTTATTGAGTAGTTATTAGACATATGGTCATAGTCAATTTAACAATTTTCTGCCATTGTCTTAAAGTATGAAAGTGATTTTTTTTTTTCATTTCAAAGGGCACTTTGTTAGATTGTTTTTAGTGTGAAAGATTCATCTGTGAAATGAAAACTGTATACTGTTAATTTTAGACTGAACTTGTCACAAGGTGTATTATTGTGTGGAAATGGTATCCAGTAGATTGAAACCTGGTATTATTTTCTTAACTAGAATCTATCTTTTATTTCAGTGTGAAAGTAGTTTCCAGGAAGTACAGTGCTGTTGAAGAGGATTTGTATCCCCTAACAACCCAGTCTTCAGAATTCTTAGACAATTTGTTTCCATCAGGACGACTGGCTGATGTATGTATTTAAATATTTACCTCAATTTTTATGTCAACATTGAACCAAACCATACACAAAAAATTGTTGTTGAAAAATGGATATTGTTTGTTTTGTAAAATGCTCACCTGTCAACTTGCAATACTTTTAAATCTCTTTGTCTTTTGTATGGTTACCATTTTGTCTTATTTATGTTCATATGAATGTGTAAATGTTGTTTCATTCAATTTATTTTGATGTCATACAGCTATAATTTAGGTAGTGAAAAAGAAAGTATGAAGAGCCATACTTCATGTATTAAGATAGTTTTAAGATATATGTGAATGTAGTAGTATACATAAGTACGTTGATATTGACAAGCCTGAACTTTGGTGAATGTAAAATTAATAGTAACTGACATTTTAGGTTATTCTTTGGCCTATTAAAGGACATGAAATAGTTCTACTATTTTAGTTTCAGCTGTAAATTTTAGTAACAAGTTTTCATAATCCCTGTTTAGGGATAAGTAGCTCAGTTTTTGAAATTAAGGTCAATTGAAAAAATGTAGATCATCTTTGAACTGATAGTTCTCGTACCAAAAATCTATGGCCAAAAATTTACACATTCATGGCAAATATAAAGAAAGTTTTTACTTGTAATTGGTAATTAAAAGTTTATCAAACTTATTGAATAAAAGTGAAATTGAAATAAATATTAATAATAATAAAAAAGAATTTGGTATAATATTTTCTTGTTGATAAATTAGTTTTTGTTTTTATTTAATCAGCTTGATACAGATGAAACTGAAATAAGCCAGGTTGATATATGTTGTCGGGGAATGTTGTTTAGCTGAGGGGCTCTGCAATAGGGGTTGACATGTTTCCACTTAACAAATTCACTTGCAAATATATAATTCCACCTTTCATGCTGAATAACAAATGAAATATTTGTACTGTCCCTTACAACAAATTGATGTTATCCCTGCTTAAAGCATGTCAAGCATGAATCATGCAGTTTAAGTAGATTTTTTCATGATAAAAGTATTGATTCAGATGTTATTACAGCCTTGTGTCAAATTTTTTGTTAGTATAGATGTGCTTTAGTTTGCTCAGCATGATGTTGATATTGTATCTTTGATTCACTGAATTGTATCACAATCACACATTCATTTTCTTGCAAGTGGCAAAGTCTGTTTTGAATTGTTATCATCAAGTAAAACAAAAAGCAACTATCAGTTTCTGTGCATAAATGTGATCAGGATATGTGTTTTAATTTCCAATTTATAAAATTGTACTATAAAATAATTATTCAATATCTGCTTTTACTTTGATGGAATTATGAATTTAAAAAAATTGAGCAAGATGACATTAAAATCTGTTCTATTAAGAATTCATTGCACTGTTTTAATCAATGATTTTAGATTTTCGATATGTTTGAATGTTTTGATTTATTTGCAGCCAACAGTACGAAGTCAAGTAACAGATTTTATATGTCGTGTCCAACATCTTTATAATGATACCAATGTCTTTCTTTCTGATAAAGCAGCTCTGCTAGTAAGTAAATTGATTTTTATGCTCCCCGCTGTAGCAGAGGGGGCATTAAGTTTTACCCTTGTCCGTCTGTTTATCCGTACGTACGTCCCAAAGTTGGTTTCCTTTCTCTAACTTTAGTTTGCCCCAACCAAATGTTATGAAACTTATACACAATGCTTATTTCCACAAAACACAGATCGAGTTTGAATTTTGGTGGCGTCACTATAAATTTCTAGAGTTATGTCCCTTTACAAATGGAAAAATTGCTGAATTTTTCTTTTCCAATTTTAACTGGATTTTCGAAGGAAATATCGATTATTAAAATGGTGATATACGGCGGGCGGCTGGGCGGTACTGGTGGCTGCCAAACAGTGTCCGCACAATAACATGAAAACGCTTTAACAAATTTTTTTCAAATTTAAATATGTTGTTTCCTGGGACTTAATGAAGGTCTCTATTAATTTTCAAGATTTTAGTATATCTCCTTTGTGAGTTATCGCCATTTTTAATATCCAAAAGTAGAATTTTTAAATATTTTACTGTTGTTATAATGTTATGATTTGTCTTATCTCAGAATAAAAATTGGAGTGACAGATTTATTTGAAAATTATCTATTTCCTAAGTGGTAATGATTATAAGCTATATCATTAGACATTTTGAAGATTATTACATTATTAATTATGTTAGAGTACTATGTTAAACAACCATAGTTCTGTTCAATTAGATATTATAAATATTTCAGCATATGATAATGATTTATTTTCATTATTAATTAGATCTTGGAAATATTTTTGCATATGATAATCATTGGAGTGACAGATTTATTTGAAAATTTTCTGTTTTCTGATAAGATCTGTAGGACTGTATATATACAGTTTGAAACTTACTAGTATTACTGTATAAATGAAGTTTGGAATTTACTGTTCATTATTAGACATTTTGTAGATAATTAAGTGTCCGTTAATCATATATATTCTTACCCCTACCCCCCTTCAATTTGATAATGTGCTTTTATCTTGTAAACGGTTGAGATCCCTACTCCTAAACCATATATTCTTGTATGGGACAATAAAACAAATCAAATGAAATATTGGGATAGTCCTCAGGTTCACAGCTACCCTCCTTTTTTTGGAAAACTTGTAAATGTGCAAGCTCCCCACCCTGAAACCATATATATTCTTGTATGTTACAAATCAAATGAAATAAAAGGTGAGTCCCCTGGGGTCACCCCCAGCGTGTCTGTTTGAGAACTTGTAAATGGTCGAGATCCCCACCCCTAAACCATATATATTTTTGTATGGGACAATAATAGATATCAAATGAAATATAGGGGAAGTCCAATGTGGTAACCCCCCACCCCCTTCTGTTTGAGAAATTGTAAACAGTTGAGATTCCCACCCCTAAACCATATTTATTCTTGTATTCGACAATAAAACAAATAAAATAAAATTTAGGGGAAGTCCACGAGGGTAAACCCCACCCCCTTCTTTTTATATGACAGCAAAAAAATTTTGCGGTCGTATATTGGTATGACGTTGGCGTCGGTGTCGTCATAGTCGTCGTCGTCCGAAGACACATTGGTTTTCGCACTCTAACTTTAGTTTAAGTGAATGGATCTCTATGAAATTTTACCATAAGGTTCAATACCACAAAAGGAAGGTGGGGATTGATAAGGGGGTTCAAAAAATTTGGGGGGGGGGGATTTTTTTTTCCTTTTTTTTCTTTAAAATTTTCCATTTTAAATTGGTTATTTCTGATTTATATATAAAAGCAAATAATAATGATATGGTTGGAATAGGTAAATTAAAAAATTTTAAGTTCTTAGACCACATTCATTCTGTGTCAGAAACCTATGCTGTGTCAAATGTTTAATTACAATCCAAATTCAGTGCTGTATCAAGCTTGAATGTTGTGTCCATACTTGCCCCAACTGTTCAGGGTTCGACCTCTGCGGTCGTATCAAACTGTGCCCCAGCAGAGGCATTTAATTGGGTAGTGAAAACTTGTTGCTTTTTGAATGCAAAGCTGATTTGTAAAGTCAGTTTTGGTTGGACAACTGAATTTTATTTGTGGTCGTATATTGATATGACGTCGGCGTCGTCGTCGTTGTCGTTGTCTGAAGACACATTGGTTTACGCACTCTAACTTTAGTTTAAGTGAATGGATCTTTATGACATTTTACCATAAGGTTCAATACCACAAAAGGAAGGTTGGGATTGATTTTGGGGGTTATGGTACCGACAGTTGAGGAATTAGGGGCCAAAAAGGGGCCAAAAATAAGCATTTTTGTAACTTCCAGACATAACTTGTGTGTTATTGTATGGATCTCTCTGACATTGTACCACAAGGTTCCATATCACAAAAGGAATGCTGGGATTGATTTTGGGGGTAATTGCCTGGAAGTTTTAGGAATTAAGGGCCAAAAAGGGGCAAAAAACAAGCATTTTTCTAGTTTCATGACAATAACTTGTGTGTAAGTGTATGGATCTCTCTGACATTGTACCACAAGGTTCCATATCACAAAGGGAATGCTGGGATTGATTTTGGGGGTAATTGCCTCCAAATTTTAGGAATTAGGGGCCAAAAAGGGGCAAAAAACAATCATTTTTCTAGTTTCATAACTATAACTTGTGTGTAAGTGTATGGATCTTTATGAAATTGTACTACAAGGTTCTATATAACAAAGGGAAAGCTGGAATTGAGTTTGGGGTTATTGCCCAAAACGTTTAGGAATAAGGGGCCAAAAAGGGGCAAAAAACAAGCATTTTTCTAGTTTCATGACAATAACTTGTGTGTAAGTGTATGGATCTCTCTGACATTGTACTACAAGGTTCTATATAACAAAGGGAAAGCTGGAATTGAGTTTGGGGGTAATTGCCCAAAACGTTTAGGAATAAGGGGCCAAAAAGGGGCCAAAAATAAGCATCTTTCTAGTTTCCAGACAATAACTTGTGTTCAAGTATATGGATCTCTCTGAAATTGTACTGCAAGGTACCATACCACAAAGGGAAGGCTGGGATTGATTTTGGGGGTAATTGCCTCAAAATTTTAGGAATTAGGGGCCATAAGGAGCAAAAAAACAAGCATTTTTCTAGTTTCAGGACAATAACTTGTGTGTAAGTGTATGGATCTTTATGAAATTGTACTACAAGGTTCCATATCACAAAGGGAAAGCTGGGTTTGAGTTTGGGGGTAATTGCCTTAAACGTTTAGGAATTTGGGGCCAAAAAACAAGCATTTTTCTAGTTTCCAGACAATAACTTGTGTTCAAGTGTATGATCTCTCTGAAATTGTACTGCAAGGTATCATACCACAAAGGGAAGGCAGGGATTGAGTTTGGGGGTGATGAATCATAAGGGGGTTCAAAAAATTTGGGGGGGGGATTTTTTTTTCCTTTTTTTTCTTTAAAATTTTCCATTTTAAATTGGTTATTTCTGATTTATATATAAAAGCAAATAATAATGATATGGTTTGAATAGGTAAATTAAAAATTTTAAAGTTCTTAGACCACATTCATTCTGTGTCAGAAACCTATGCTGTGTCAAATATTTAATTACAATCCAAATTCAGTGCTGTATCAAGCTTGAATGTTGTGTCCATACTTGTCCCAACTGTTCAGGGTTCGACCTCTGCGGTCGTATCAAGTTGCACCCCAGCGGAGCATTTTATTGAATATTATCCTCCCATTCAGACAAATCAAAATTGATAATTTAAAGTACAATGAATAGAATTTACATCAATGATTTTAAAGAAAATGCTCAACTGCTATGTTTTGGCCTCTGAACTTTTTTCATAGACTGTCAAAATAAAAGATACACCTTGCTTCACTTTTGTTGTTTTTCCAATAACTGCAACGTTATGACCATGACGTCATAGTTAATCATTTCCAATTAAAAATTTAAAAGACAATATTGGCAGAACATTGAGTTTGATAAATTAAATAACACATACCCAAGAGGGTTGGTACTGTTTTCTCTGGGTAACAATCTGCTCTATCACCCTCTCAGCTATGTGTTATTTATACAACACTGTATAAAAAGTACAAAATTAAACATGTCTTCTGTTTAGATTATAGATATTTAACCACATTAATTTTATGTGTATTAAACTGGTCACATGACAACTAAACAATCTCTCCAAGGACTTTTGTAAAGAAGATGTCTTATTTGTAAGATGTTTGGTTATGTTAAGAGTTCGATCACCATATTGCCATTTAGATATATTGATTTTTAGCAAGAGTTTCTGTCGTTTAGGTCTTTTGGTTAGATAGCTCTCATGTTTCCTTTCAAAATTTTGTCATTATATGCAGCTGATCATATCAAATTACATTTGTTTATTTTTGTTTTTTTTATCATTTTTATCAATCTAAGATATGGAGCAGATTGGTCAGTTTTTATCAATCTAAGAGGAACATGGAGCAGATTGTTCAGTTATATAGGTTTTTTAAACTTGCTTTTTGACAATTTGTAACATCTATTTTCAGACATGCACTAGTAGTATTTGGTGGTGTTCAAGGTTTAGAGGCAAGTTTAGATGCAGATGAAGCGCTGAATGTAGATAATCCCAGCTTGTTGTTCCAACATTACCTCAACACCTGCCCGTGTCAAGGGAGTCACACCATCAGAACTGAAGTGAGTTATAGAGAAAGAAAAATTGTAAACAGATATTATTGTTTACAGAATGCAGTTTAAATTAAAAAATAGAAGGCTTTAAAGTTATCATTCAAACGTAAAAGATTAAAAATATTCAATTATTATTATGTTAAAGAGAGTATACTAATAGTAAAGTAGGTTCTTGCTTTAGGGTAGAGTTTTACAATCAATCAATCAATCAAACTTTTATTGCCATATAAACCAACTTATACGATTTGTGACAAAAACAACATTAACATAATGACAAGAAAAAAGCATGTATAATCATATTAAACAAACTAATGAAAATAGTTCAAAATTCAATTATGAGTCCCCTATCCTTAGTGCCAATGACTTTTTAATAAAGGAACCTATGCTTTCTACCTGTTTTTGTGTTGATGGGCAAAGAATATTTATCATTTTTTTCATTTTCATTGAGGCTATTAAAATTTTCTATACTTTTAGCCTTTGTTAATTTTTCAATAAAAACTTGGAAGCGTTTTTCCTGCAATACAAAAGAAAATGTTTTTCATCCTCAATTGTATTGCAGGACTGACACAACCGGTTTTCTCTAGGGATTTTTAGGTGTCTCCCTTTTTCTATTAATAAATTATGATCACTTAATCTTAATTTAGTGATATTACATCTATTTTCAAATATATTAGAATTCAGATATGTTTCTATTTTATTACTTTGTTTTAATGTTTTATATAATAGAAGTTTACTGCTATTATCTATTTTCTCAAATTTATTTATATAATTTTCATAATGATTAAGGAGTTTAACTTTTAATTCAGTTTTAAGTGTTTTTATTTGGTTTAGATTCTTACACTCCTCAATATGTTTAAAATCTACATTTGCTTCCTTTGCAATGTTTTTTATATACGTAAACCATGTGTAACATCCTGCTGAGTCTAGATTCTTTGATAGAGTGAAAGCCTCATACAATAAGGGATTTATACAATTATTTAGAAGTCTTGTTAAATATAGTAAACTTTGGACCTTTATTTTTAATTCTAATGGATAGCTACTTAATTCTTTTCTAACTGCTAAATTTGATGCATTTTTATTGTGTTCCCAAAATATATTTACAAAATGATAAATGAAGTTTTTCAAAACAAGTTTTATTAGTAAAATCAAGAAAGTCAATTTCTTTATGGGATACATTTGCCCTCTGGACAGCTCTATATAATGTTATATATGTATCCATAAAAGTAACCTCTGAATTATATGTAGCAATTGGTTCCACCATAGTATTAAACAAACTACATGCTACTTTAATAGGGATATTATTTAAAGAACCAGTATAGGATTTAATAGCAAACATTACCTTTTTCACCTTTTTTACTAGTTCTTCAGAGCTGTGATTAAAATTACCATTACATTTAATAAGAATACCTAAAAATTTATATTCTGGAACATTTATCAAATTTATATCTTTATATTTAACAAAAGATTGTTCTAATTTAATGTTTTTGTTTTGCAAAATCATAGTTTTAGTTTTGTTAACATTTAGTGTAAGTTGCCAGGTGTCACAATATTCTTCTAAATTATTTAAGCTATTTTGCAAACCTTGTTTACTTTCTGAAAGTATAAGTAGATCATCTGCAAACATAAGACAATTTACCTCAGAAGAAACTGATTTTAAAGGATAATTATCATTTTTTGAGAGTTCACTTTCAATATCATTTATAAAAAGATTAAACAAAGAGAGGCTTAAAGAATCTCCTTGTTTGACCCCTCTTGATATTTCAAAAAAGTCTGAGTGTTGATTCTGCACTTTGATAGCTGATTTAGTGTTAATATATTGTTGTTTAATAATATTATAAAAAATTTTACCAACTCCTAGGTTGTAAAGTTTATAAAGGAGGGCTTTTCTCCATACAGAGTCAAAGGCCTTCCTTAGATCTACAAAGCATGCATATATTTTATTTTTATTTTTATGTAAATATTTATTTATTAATGATTTTAATACAAAGATACTGTCAGAAGTCCTATGATTTTTACGAAAACCAAATTGACTTTTACTGACAGCAGCTTCCATTTTTTTTATAAGTCTTTCATTTAAGATAGCATTAAATAATTTTGGTAGACAATCTATTAAGGAGACACCTCTATAATTATTAGGGTCGCTTTTATCGCCTGCTTTGTGTAACAAAACTACAAATGAGTTTTGCCATGAAGAAGGATAAATACTAGTATTTAATATCAAATTAAAGAGTTTGACAATACTTTTCAGTGTTACATTTTTACTATATTTTATAACTTCATTTATTATATTATCTGGACCTGATGATTTACCCTTTTTTAATCTATGTATTAAATTTTTAACCTCTTTACATGTGATGGGGGTATCAGTTTCTTCTTTAAATTCTATGTTATTCTCAAACTCCTTTAATTTATTTTCTATTTCCTGGCTAAAATTTTCATCACATGATTTTGGATTGCCTTGTTGTTGAATGTGTTTTTTAATTTTATCTTCATCTTGTAAAATTGGTGGAATTCCCTGGTCAACTTCTTTTATCTTTTTAAACTTTTTAATTATATCCCAGTAGTCTTTTGGTTTTTTATTAAATGTATCTGTAAGGTTATCAAAAATTTTCTTCTTATATTCTGCTTTCTTTATTTTAGTCATTTTTCTTAGTTTTTTTATCATTTCAAAGTATTTGTTTTTCAAATGATTACTAGGACATTTTTTAATTTTATTTCAAATACTGTTTATTTCTTTTTTGGTTTCATAAATTGAATTATCTGACCAAACTTGTTTAAACTTTTTCTTTTTTCTTTTTATCCCTGTTTTTTTTTATTTTACATGAAATTTCAGAGATTTATTCAAATATTTGTGTTAACTTTTCTTCTGCTCCATCAACACCTTTTTGACATTCAGAAAAATTTTCTAGTTCAAAGTTGATTATATTATTTTTTATTTGTTCTGAAATTTTCAGAATCCTCTTTCCAAATGTATCTTTTTACATTTTTCCATCTTTTTTTATCCAACTGTATATTAGGATATATTTTTATATCACATTTTAAGGTGACCTGTATCTGTACATGATCAGACATATATGAAAAACAATCTGTTTTAAAATATTTTACCAAGGATAGGAGACTCTCACTAACAATTCCGTAGTCAACTGTACTTGACCCGTTTACAGACATAAATGTGCAATAACCTAAACTGTCTCCCATGTATCTGCCATTGAATATGCGCAACCTCGAAGATATACACAAGTCTAATAAAGATTTACCTTGTGAATTATAAATTTTATCTTGATTTTGTCTTACTATTTCATCATCAATCATATAATTCTCTGGCAATAATTTTGAGCCATCAAATCTATTTATTTCTGCTGAATCCTGTACTACAAAATCAGGTTTATTTCCAATTCTACTATTAAAATCTCCTAATAAAAGAATTTTCCCTTTAGCAGAAAAAATAGAAATTTCATTTTCTAAAGACATGAAATCATTTTCAGAGTACACAGAAGATATAGGCGGTACATATACTGCACACATGTATACGTCTTCTAAAAAACCAAAGAAGTTTTTGTCAAGTTTAACCCATAATCTGTTTTCTGATGAAGTGCCATTTACAATATTTTGTATGCCTTTTTCTAACTCTTTTCTATAATAAACAATTATGCCTTCGCTGTGCCTTCTTGCATTTTTTGCGCTTTTTTCTGACTTTTGAAATACAATTAAAGCCTTCAATATTATAATCTTTACAACTTCCTTTCCATGTTTCGAGTAATATATTTATATCACTTTTAATTTTATCAATAAACCTTTGATCTTCAATCTTATCTCCGAGGCCACGCACATTCCAAGATGACAAAGTCAAACATTGTTTTTTACTATAAAAATTCATGAATATGTTAACAAGTGAAATTAAAGACTGAAAACCACTTTAAATTTCTATAAACCATGTATTTACATTGTCTATATCCAATCTAACATGTTATATATCTATGTGCATTAATCAATAATAATATTTGAACTCTTACACATATAAGAAAGCTCATTTAATTTGACTTATACACCAATTTACTATGTTTAGATAATATATATATATATACATATATTGTATTTGTGCAATAATAGTCATATTAATTTTACATTTTTGCATTTTCTTTCTCTTTACTAATACAAGAACTGATTTTTTTTAATTTGTCAAAAAAACAAAATTTACATTTACAATCCTGAACAAATCCCTATACATTTTATAATAAGAACTATAGATGTGTTTTAATTTTTCCTATAAACTAACTTCTTTTTATGTTGAATCAAATCAAATATTTGACTATCTCTTGGGAAATGTATCCATTCTATATAACAGGGGAGATAATTAATTATAAATCCCTGCTCTGTTTATTTTTCATTACTAACACCAATTTCTTCACCCAAAAATTAACCAATGAAGGATATTATTAGTGTATCCTTTTTCTCAAGTGTCTATCAAATTTTTACATATAACTTCTTTTTTATGTTAAAAGGGAGGTAATTCAATGTGAAATTTTTCCCTTTCTTTTAAGAGTACATGGTTGGTGGTACTAATTTCATTTTTTCCATCAAACATATATCGCTATAAAAGATTGGTTTTTTTTAATTATTTTCTTTTCATGATTTACATGGACATGATATAACAATAAATGTGGCAAAGTGACAAAATTATAATAAACCTTGACTTTATACATACAGAGAAATAGAATAAAGCACAATTATTGCTACCCAAAAAATAACCTTTTACTATCAGTTAGCTAAAATATTTTATCAGTTGATCAATTTGAAAAGATGAATCCAAACTTCCAAACTTTGTTAGTCTAGTATGTTTTTTAATTTTAGTTCATTTATATGTTTTGGAGTTTAGTGTGACGTCCATTTTCACTGAACTAGCACACAATTTTAGTTAGGGGCCAGCTGAGGACCACCTCCGGGTGCGGGATTTTCTCGCTGCATTGAAGACCCATTAGTGGCCTTCGGCTGTTGTCTGTTCTTTGGTCGGGTTGTTGTCTCTTTGACATATTCCCCATTTCCATTCTCAATTTTATTCAATAAGGAAAAACATTTTAGAAAATTAGTATTGTGAAAGGACACAGCCTTTTGAATATGCACAATGTATAGATATAGTCTGGGGTTAAAGTTTTATTACCCAATTCAGGCTTGTATAGTCCGCGGTTTTATTCTCCAAAATTGAATCTGCCACAAGGGGTGCAGATTATAGAGAATGATAAGCAAGAAATAAGAGAAAAATTTGATTTCACAAGGTTTGTTTTAAGTTCTGCCAGGTTTGTTATTGAAATTGTAGAGGGCGATCTTATGATTTTCAAAACTAATAATCCATATTAATATGCTTTTTTTATTCCATATCAAATATAAACTGATAAATTTCAAAATTAAATGCTTCATTACAAATTTCTCGTTTCTTTTCACTGCATTGCAGAAAATGGAATCCATTCAAATTTAACAAAAGGAAAAAGTGTAATAAGTCAGCCAGGAACCAGTTTATGCATAACGCTGTATAAACTACAAAACATAATCAGTTATTCGTTCCGTCTTGGTGTTTCGTACTAACACATGTTTGTTTTAGCTTAAGATCCTTCACACATTAAGGTGATAGATATGTTAAACATTATTTTACTTGAGGATGGAACTGTTTTACTTTCAAAGTCGTATTCTAGTGATATTTATTAAGTACAGATTTTCTGAACACTCTCACCGTATTTATTTTCATTTACATGTGCTATTCGAAGTTGCTGCTTAAACAAACACAAGTTACTCAATTACTTGTTTTTTGTGATTTTGACTTATTTTAACACTCGTGAAGTGTTCTAGAATCGTTTACAAGAATTTCAACTTCTATTTGATGATGAAAAACATGTTTTTCCATGAAAATACCGCAAATGATCACACTCGATTTGAAATTACCAGAGTTTCATTGGACATTTTCAAACAGTTACAAACAGTTTTTTACCTGAATTCTCGTGACGAGAAGGGGATGCCGTCAATGTAACAGTGCGAACTATACAGGGCCGATTACGGTAGAAATCAATAACTTTGTCAAACCTTCATAGAATTTTATGAAATTGAAACAGAAGCTTCTGTATAAATAAGAGATAGCATCTGATACAAGATTTTGAAAACATATTTTTTATTTTTCTGTATTTTACTGATAGATGAGAAAAGTATTTTTTAATTACCATTTAGATACATTCTGGGGTTAAAGTTTTTTAGACATCAAATAACTTAGACAGATCTGAAGTTTAAACATTTTTTTTTACTTTTCTGTGTTTTACTGATAAAATTTTTCGCAGTTAATATTCAGATACTTTTTTTTTTTAAAGTTTTTAAAACTTTGATAACCTTTTTCAAACCTTCATATAATTTCTTGAAATTTTTACAGAAGCATCTCAAAAATCAAAAGTTACTATCAAGAGTAAAATTTACATTTTGTTCATTGCTTTGCTGTACTTTACTAAATAATGGACTTATTATTCACCTTAAATATTTAGGTACAGTCTGTGGTAAAAGATTTTAAAACTTAAATATCTTTGTCAATTCTTCATGGAATGTTACAAAAGTTGGACAGAAGCTTCTTTGTCAGTCAACATTCAATTTACACTGCCAACAGCAGTCCAGACGAGACAAAGTGTTCAGGAGAACCTTTTTCATTTTTTTTTTATATTTACAGGCCCAAAACACTCCTTCTTTCATAGTTTTTATACGCCCGTCAAAATTTTGACGGGACGTATTATGGTATACAAATGTTGTCTGTCCATCTGTCCTTCTGTCCGTCTGTCTGTCCGGCGTAAATATGTCGCACCGTAACTTGAGAACGACTTATCCAAATTTCATGAAACTTAAAATAGTTGTTTCTTATGAAGGTCAAACGATCTGTATACTTTTTGGTGAAAATAAGATTAAAACTTTTTGAGTTACGGGACTTAGTAACTAAAACAGGTGTGTGTTTTTTTTTTCACATGTCGCGCCGTATCTCAAAAACAATTTATGATTATTGCTTAAAACTTTACACACTTCTTAGTTATATTAATCTAAAGATCTGTACACTTTTTGGTGATGATTCAAAATTTTATATTTGAGTTATTGAGTATTTTGTAAAAAAAAGGGGGAGGGTTTTTTTTCACATGTCGCGCCGTATCTCAAAAACGATTTATGATTATTGCTTAAAAGTTTACACACTTCTTAGTTATATTAATCTAAAGATCTGTATACTTTTTTGTTATGATTCAAATTTTTATTTTAGAGATATTGTTTTTTTTGTAAAAAAAAAAGGGGGGTTCTCGCAAAAATAATTCATGCATTTCTAGGTGAACATATGGAAACAAATTATTATGCTTTATACTGAAAGATATTTCTCTCTTTTTAGGAAGCCATTTTGATCACATTATCATCACTACGACCACAACTTCACAGAAACAGATCTCCAGATTCATGACAAAAATAAATTGTTTGTTTTATCATTCTTCATTTTATTTGATCTTCCTTTTAGATATGATTCCATTGTTGTGCTGGCTGATATTGTACTTTTGTTAACTCACTTGACACCTCGTCTTATGGGCCATGTTAGCTGTTGTAATCATTCAGTGTCAGTTGTTAAAAAATGTTAACTGGTATGATACGATGCTTTTTGTCCGCAATTTGCTTTTTGTCCGATAATTTTGCTTTTTGTCCGACACTTTTGCTTTTTGTCCGTTGCTTTTTGTCCGTTTTGCTTTTTGTCTGATAATTTTGCTTTTTGTCCGACACTTTTGCTTTTTGTCCGTTGCTTTTTGTCCGTTTTGCTTTTTGTCAGATAATTTTGCTTTTTGTCCGACACTTTTGCTTTTTGTCCATTGCTTTTTTAACTCACCTGGCCCAGAGGGCTAAGTGAGCTTTTCTCCTCACTTGGCATCCGTCATCGTCGTTGATTTTTACAAAAATCTTCTCCTCTGAAACTACTGGCAAAATTTAAGCAAATATGGCCAAAATCATCCTTAGTGTAAACATATTTTATTAATTAAATTCAAGATAAATTATGTACACAATTTGGCATTTACATATTAATACAATTGAATAATTAATAGGATCTGGAAACAAGCTGTTAACTTATATTAATCCGTTTCCGAATTCAAATAAGAACATTTCATATTGTAATACTCAAGGAGTAGAATGTATAAAATTAAATAATGTTACACTAGATGGAAAACAAGACATATAATAAGGTTGTGAACACAAGAAGAGAGAAAAAAAAATCAGAAACATCGGAAGTACAATAATAAAGTGCATGTTTCTGAACGGACACAATTATTTAAGATATAAATATGCACTGTAGACTTGTTGAACAAGATGTTTGAAATTATATGACAAATTTTTTGCTACTGAGTATGAATGTTTGAACTGCCAAGAATATTTCAATGTTTTGTTCGTAGCTGAGTTCCGTTGAACCGTATAGCAAAATTTCTTCTGACAAGAAGTGTATGATTCTGATGTTATAAAAATGCTGTTCACACATGATGTGAAATCGGGGACAGTGCAACAAGTAATGCGCTGTTGTTTCTATAGCACTACATAAACAAAGTGGTGAGGCCACTATATTTTTAACAAAAAGATGTTGATTTAGAGAACTGCATTGCATTCGAAGTCTTGAGGGATAAATTTGACCTAATCGCTTACCATGTAATAATAATCATCCTTGGGGTATCTTGTTTCAAAAAAATATCCGATCACACACACTCACACCCTTTAGCTAACTTGTTTTAACAACTTAACTAACTCGTTTAAATAACTTAACTAACTTGTTTACTTAAAAACTACTTATTGTAAATACACAGAGTTATGTTTGATTAAAATATTGTTATGCCCCCGCCGTAGCAGAGGGGGCATTAAGTTTTACCCTTGTCCATCTGTCCGTCCGTCCGTCCGTACCTCCCAAAGTTGGTTTCCGTTCTCTAACTTTAGTTATGAAACTTATACACAATGCTTATTATCACTAAATACAGATCAAGTTTGAATTTTGGTGGTGTCACTCTTACCGTTCTAGAGTTATGCTCCTTTACAAATGGAAAAATTGCTAAATTTTTCGTTTTTGTTCTCTAACTTAAGTTTGCCTCAACCAAATGTTATGAAACTTATACACAATGCTTATTACCACAATATACAGACCAAGTTTGAATTTTGGTGATGTCACTTTTACTGTTCTAGAGTTATGCCCTTTACTTTTTTTTTCTAAATATCAAGTCATTTTTAAAATTGGAGTTATCTCCCTTTCTCCATGATTATAGTTGAGTCAACTACAATCAAAGCTTTATAAAATGCAATGTTTAATTTTGCCTTCCACTGATAAATTAAAGCAATTTTTACCCTTCATTTCTAAAAATATTTTAAAGTCTTCTTTGAAAATTGGAGTTATCTTTCTTTGTGCATAATGGCAGTTGAATCAACTACAACCAATGCTTTATACAATGCAATATTATTCAATTTTACTTCCTACTGATAAATTAAAGCAATCTTTACCATTCAGTGCTTTCAAGCACTTTGATTACCGTTCTAGGGTTATGCCCCTTTACAAATGAAAAAATTACTGAATTTTTCGTTTCCGTTCTCTAACTTGAGTTTGTCTTAACTAAATGTAATTTCTAAAAATATCAATGTCATTATTCAAGTAATTTTTAAAATTGGAGTTATCTTCCTTTGTCCATGATTATAATTGAATCAACTACAATCAATGCTTTATACAATGCCTTCCACTGATAAAACACAGATGAAGTTGAATTTGGGTAGTGTCACTTTAACCATTATTGAGTTGTGCACCTTTATAAATCAAAAGATTGCAAAATTTTTAGTTTCCATTCTGTAACTTAAGTTTGCCCCAACCAAACATTATGAAACCTATACACAATATTCATTACCTCAAAACTAAGATAATGTATATTTTTTCAAGTTGTTTCCGTTCTCTAACTTTAGTTTGCCTCAACCAAATGTTATGAAACTTATACACAATGCTTATTACTACAAAATACAGATTAAGTACGAAATTCGGTGGCGTCACTTTTAACATTCTTGTTTTTTAATTCATTGATATTTTCCACTTGTATATGGGACTATTATACTAACCAGTATAATAGTCCCAGCTTGTATCACATATTGATTTGTAAAATTCAACCGTCTGGGTAACGGAGACTAGTTCCAGATTTGATTTTATTTCTCTTTTCGGGAGTAATAACCCGGGATACAGTCATATTTCTTTGGTTGGTACATGCATACTCTATTGATAAGAAATATACCGAAAACTTAATCATATTTACGGATTAGTATTAAAAGTATCGCATTTCAGTGAGGAGGAAAAAAATAACAATGACTTCTACTTTTGCCGCCCTACAGACTTGACCAATTTTAAAATAAACACTGTTGATGTATTTATTTCAAATGTTTCTATTAAAAAAGTGTTTTATATTTAGAAATGCACTATCTGTATCTAAAATATTGTGCCCATCTATTTCGTTATAAGAATTAAGTAAATGCTAAGTAGCATTTTAATTACTTTCCTCCCTCCTTTCGAGTTTGTCAAACAACAATTAACTACTTGGCTGACAATGCTGTTGCGTTAACCAAAGTTTCCTTATTACTTGAATAGCCTCGAACGTCTTAACGGTACGCCATTTGGAAATAGTTGCTAGACAATTCCGAAATTTAAAGATTAATACAGTTTATCTCAATAAATAGCTACACATGTCTTCCTTAAACTTTGCGATATTGTTCCAAAAGTTAAAGCATTGTTTGTTATATTTGTAATGTTTGTAATGTTTAAAAAAAAACAAAGTTGTTGGAAATATGACGAAATTATTACCAGACTTAAATGACATTTTTAAACTAAAATGTTGCAAAATATTTTGGAGCGACGGATAGACGGCCGTTCGTATATCAGTGCAAATGGTGACTATATATCACTAGCGGAAAGAAGAAACTGTGCGTATAAGCTATAAAATGTAAATGTATGCACTTCCACATGCAGCAAACGCCGACACCATTTACCATAGTGGTAAAACAATTCATACGAGAAAAACCAACGGCTTGATTGATTTACAAAACTGTATACGACCATAGATATAATAGCCATAGATCTATGGCTATTATATCTATGATACGACAAACAAATATGATATACAGTAACAAACAACAACTACTAAATTACAGGTTGAACCCCCGTTCCTGACTTATTTGTATGATTGTCATATATAATATTTAGCGCGGTTAAACATATTTAGAATTTCAATAACGAAACAATCACACATGGATTATTTGATTTGATCAATTTCTAAATTATTATAAAGTTTCGAACATGTTCGTCTAAATCTTTGAAAATCCCATGTATTCTACAAATTCGAGAAGGTACACCATTGCTAACACGTTTGAGGATGACAGACTAACTTACGACCAGAATGAATAAGCGTTTGTCTTTATAACACGACCTAAAACATTCCTTGTTGTGTAAAACACTAAGAATGCCAACTCCTCACTCGTACAAATATCCTTATATCTTGCCTTCTACTTCTCCTGTTTATGTCCCCTTTTTTCTATTTCTTCATTTTCTTTTTTTCACTTATCTAATTATTATGTTTAATTCAGCATTGTATGCATATGAACGCTTACATATATATATAATTATTGTGATATCATATATAAGAGAGAGGCGAAAGATACCAAAGGGGCAATCACACTTAAAAAAGGTCGAAACAAACCAACAAAGCCACAGCTAAAATGAAAAACAACAAGACACACAACAGTCCACAAAACACAACATTGAAAAATAAAATCTGAGCAACAAGAACCCTGTAAAAAACCGTGATGATTTATGGTTTTCAGGAAGGGTAAGCAAATCCTGCTCCGTTTGTGTCGTATTATAATCATATTTTGGACAAGACTTCAATGTGCCAGGTCCATTAATATTATGTTTAAAAAAAGACATATGTTTAACTGAACTTTCGAACCAGTTGTCTTGGAAGATCTTTAATCCAAGGGGGTCCTAAATAGTTGCTTTTTGATGACCCTACAAGGAGTTATGATTTAATTCCTTGCGAACACATTCATAAGGACCGAAAATTTCCATCTGCATCTTTTAAAAATTCCGAATATTGTATAAATTGAATGGGATACCCCATTTCAAACCCAGCGTCTCGGAAAATCTCATCTAAGGGCACTAGATAATGATTAAATGTGTAGCTATTAAATAATTATACATGGATTTCTAGCGAAAACATTTATAACGGCCGAATTTAAAGTTTGTCTTTGCTGATAGAAGAAATTTCACAATAAAAACTGAAACGCAAAAACGCACAAACGCATAAAGATGTTTATTCAGGACAATAACTTATACACAAAAAAACAGCAGAAATATATATGAACTACCACCAATGAAGGTTGTTAAATGCTATAGGTGATACTTAATGCTTTACGTAATGTTCTTTTTATCTTTTTTTTT